TAAAATTGTTATAAAAATTGAAATATTATTATAAAATTGATTAATGTTATAAAATTGATTATATTATTTTGTAATAAAACTATTTTTTAACTTATTTCATGCTAGATATAGAACGTTGCGGGAATGCTTAATTTTTAAAATAAAATTTTGAGTAAGTAGGATAACTCCGGCAAATATGCCGCGCTGGGATTTACGCCGCAGAAGTCAGAAAAAATAGAAAGAGTGGGAGTAATTTTCTCGCAATTACTTTCTGTTACATGTCTTTATGTTATATTAGTATTGTGTTATGATATCAACTTCTTACTGTTAATATTAATGAATTTATTATGAGTTGAATCGATTTGTAGTACTGTAATAAGTAACGCCATATATATAAATTATAATTTATAATACATAAATTGATTATTGGCGTGTAAAAGATTTAGTAGTTATTTCATGATACATACGTGTAGTGGAATAATAAAGCATGTTGTGTAGCAAAATACAAGTGCTTTCGTATTTTTTGTTTATAGTTTGTTGTCTCACCTGTTTGGGATATACGGCATTTTTAGCAAGCAGAATTTAGCTTAAAGCATACAAGCAGTGCGCAGATTGAATTCAATGCACTAAATAAACATATTATATGAAATATGTACCTTATTTCATAACTTGTAATATATGTAGGAAGATTATAATTATTATTTATTATTTCATATACATATTTACCATTCTTCCTTAATAAAACTTTATAAATACACTTTATAAATTATTGTGTCATTATACGTCTTGATATGCATTATTTGTAAATTTTTCATGAGCCCCTCTTATATATCTCCCCTCTCCCTATGAGTAGCCATATATCTTGCCTTTATGGAATATACGGTAAAAATTCAAGGATTTCAATAAGTTTATTTTTTAATATATGAAAAATAAATATTTCTAATATTTTTTTCATAGTAGTAGATAGTACAAAGTTTTTACTGATATAGTTCATTTACTGTAAATATAGTAAATAATACTTAATAAATTAAGTTTTTAATAGGTGCAGCGTACATACTGGAGTTATTTTATATTTACAAATACTATTATATTTTTAATATTGACTTAACAAATTCATGTTCTGAATTACATATAGCACAGGAAAATTAAATTTTTTGGAAGCAAAATTGCTATAAAAGATTTGTTTACGAGAAATTGTTCGAAATGACGTATTATATAATATATTAAAAATCTTGATCATCAACGAACTTAGAAAACTTTCTAGTTTCAAAAACTAATAAAAAAAAAAGATTTTTAAAAATATCTTAGAAAGTATTAATTTCGAATAAAGATTTACCAAAAAGAAAGCTGATACAATTACGAACAATTTCGTTCTTTTTTTAAAGTTGTACTATCAATATTTTCTGTAATAGAATTTTTTAAAGAATATTGTATTTTTGGTCATTTGTGGAGAATGAAATAATTTTTCACACTTTTTTCATAAATATGTCGGATCAGATTACTTTTTTACGTACAAAATGCTTGTTATAAAAATTGAAGATTTTAATTCCGTATAAAATTATTTTTTACATGTCTTTGTACAAGCAATAGTTTTCGATATACGATTTTAAGATTTCCCTTTATTTTTGAATAAATTTTTTTTTAAATTTTATGTAAATGTCTCGGTTACTTCTACGTAAAAAGTAGGATAGAGTTAGTTGTGATACTTTTTCTTTAAGTTATTATAAATTTTTACACAATTACTATAGACTAAATGCTTTAAAACGTTGCATATTCATCTGGCTCAATAACTGAGTACTTATAAATTCTTAATATAGCTCGTAAATAAGAAAAAAGTTACGTTAATTATAAGGATGCAAAGTGAATCAATATGCCCAATCTATAGGATATGTTGAACATGTTCGAAGAATAAGTTGAACCATGAAGGTAATCATTTAATAAAATTATATTTTATTAAAAACATGAAAGGATTATGTGTATTAAATTTTTATTTCTTAAGTATAACAATTTGTAGTACTCTCTCTTTTTAAATGCTTTAATTAACAAAATTAAAAAAATTAAAATTTTTATTCTTTATAATAATAAACATATCATATGTTTAATTATTAATATAGAATAAAAAGCATTGATAAAGGCATTGATAAAGATTTCATTTAAGCTGCTGAATTTATAAGATTAGTTATGAGACACTGGTCTAACAAGTCGATGTTAATTGAAATATCTACAATTTTTTTTTACTTGGGTAATGCATCAATTTTAATTAATTTTTTTTAAATTAATCATTTCAAAAATAAAAACAATAATTTTTGGGAAAGGAAGTAGAAAAAGTCATAGCACAAAAGATAAGAAAATATCGGGTTAGAAATATCCGCTGTGTATGCACAGGATTTTTTTGTGTTGCGTACTGAGAATTAATGTTCACATTTTCATTAAAGTATATGAGAACCAAAATAAGCATATATATCACACACTACTTAGCCTTCGCGGCATTAGCCAATCACTATCAGAATTAACGGTCTGAATAATATCGTATTTGTCAAAGTTGTATCTCTGAAACTATTGATTCTAAAAATGTAAACCAAACGTCAAATTCAAGGAAATATTATCTATTAAAAAAGGTCGGAAAGAGTTATTACATTAATCTAATATTTTTTCAAATACATTGTTTTTAAATAAGTTATGGATAACTTTTAATAAAAAAATCGTAGAAAACTCTTTTTTCAAACAACTATATTATCACAAAAATTGACGGAAAGAAAAAACAAAAAGCATAAGAAATTCTCTAAGTTTTAATTTGGTGTTTTACTTATTTTTACATATGTTCTTTAAGAACTGGGAAATTTATAAAAAAATAATGGAGAAAAATTTTTTTTTTTTGAAAATGTTGAAAAAAGTAATTTTTCTCGAAGCTATTTTTTCCTAGTTGCGTATCACTTTCCAAAAATAAATTTTGGAAAGTGATACGCAACTAGGATTATATATAAATACATATAAACTTTGAGAAAAATACGAATATTATTTTTTCTAATTTAATTACATACCTCTATTGATAAATAAATTCATATTTGAACATAAATTGAGCATTCTATAATGTCTTTGAAACTCCTGTTTCGAGAATTATAGAGATCAAAAATTATGAGATCAAAAAAAGAAAACATCTTCAAACTAATTTCACAAGCTTTAAACTGTTTATGTACATTTTTCACATATGATAATCACAAGCAGTCATTAAAATGTATTACAATTTAAAAAAACTTATTTATATTTCGGTAACTATTCATCATACGAAGTTTAATAAAAAACGATTTTGCAGGGAATTTAAAAACCTTTTGATTTAATAATGAGTACTTTCTCCGTAAGAGTAGCTGAATCCGAAATATTTACATAAAACTTAAAAAAAAAGTTTTGTTTAAAAATAAAGGGATATATTCTTAAAATTGTATCTCGGAAACTATTGGTTGTATTGTACAAGAATAAAAAAATGATTTTATTAGGAATTTAAACCTTCAATTTTCATAAGAAGTATTTTATATGCATAAAAGCATATCCGAGATATTTACAAAAATGTATTTAAAAAATCACTTTATTTTCAAAATGACCAAAAATACAACGTTCTTTGAAAAATTTTATTACGGAAATTGATCTTACGATCTTAAAAAAAAATAAAATGTTCGTAATTGTATCAGTTTTCTTTTTGATAATGACCTTTATTTTGATGAAATAAATACTTTTTGAAATATTTTTGAAAAACTGCATTTTTTATTAGTTTTTTATACAATAGTTAAAAAGTTTTTCAAGTTCGCTGACGGTCTGTTGCTTTTAGTATATTTTATATATATGATACGTTATTTCTAATAATTTCTCGCAAACAAATTTTTATGACAATTTTGCTTCCCAAACGCAAAAAAAAATTTAATTTTTCTGGACTAATGTGGAAATTATCTTTACGGTACAAAGTATTTTAAATTTTTTATTTCCAAAAATTTGAAATTCTTTTTTATTGACGTAAAAGCATTATTTTTATTTATATCACAATCAAAGTGTTAACTCAGTATACATTTATTGTCTAGTCAATGTATACATTTAATACGGAAATATTGGGTTGGCAAGAAAATAATTGCGTTTTTTTAAAAGGTATCTATCAATAAAAACCGCAATTATTTTCTTATCAACCAATATAAATATATCTTGATAGATTGAGAATAAAGTTTCAACTTTAAGAATCTCTTTTTTAAATTGCAATGCGACAATTTTTAACGGAGTTATGAACAATTAAAATTAAAATGTTTTCCTTTTATTTAATCCGCGATAATTCAGTAACCAAAATCATAAGAATATTTAAAAAAAAGCGATTTTGTAGGGAAAGTATCAAGCTTTCACAATAGGTAGTCGATTTTCTCAAATTTGTTTTGGGCACAAACCTACAAAGGGAGAAGAAAATTTTTCATCTTTTTCATATTGTTGTCATTTGTTTCAACTCATAGTTTTTGATATGTAAAAATTACCGAAATTTATATTAACTTAAAAAATGTGGTAAGCTTTTAAAAATAGAGATTTCAAAAGAAATTTTAAAACTCTTTTTTTTAATTTAAATTTCATTCATCATTTATTGACGAAGATATTATATTGTATATACAACTTTGAGCTAAAAAAACGCAATTATTGCTAATCCAAATATACATTAACTATAGTGTACATGTTTATTGAATTTAATTGATTGTGACATTAATATAAAAAGTGAGTTCTGCTTTGCGCAATACACGTATTGCGAAATGCAAAGCTCTGCCAGCACGATGCGTCATCAGAATTTTTTTTATACGTAAGTCGCGTAAGAAATTAAGCTGTAGCAGATGCGTCATTAATCCCATTGTTAAGTCGGCAGGATGCGAGACACGAAATGTCGTGCAGAGACGAACGTAAAGTATGGATGGTGCTTCTCGTCATAACGTACTGGGCACGTTTTAATCATCTCCGTTTTAATAACCATTGCAGAACCATACAACGCCGAGGTAGGGCAGCGTCATCTCCTCGTTATCTAATCTCGGTACACAGACGGAATGTCCTTGCCGCGAGATCGTGAGAATCTCGTTCTGCCCCAGCAAACGAACTGCATCGGCCGAAACGAATTTCTCATTTGCACCGGCCGGATTGACACAGTATGCCGAACAATAATCGATTCAGCAGACTCATTTAAGGTAAACTCAGCCTGCGGATCAACCCGATACGTGATTTCGATACGGTTCGCCCTGAGTTCGGTCCGGGCAAATGTACACAGACGGATTATTATGAAATTATACGTGGATCAAGTGTCGGTCGATGGTGCGCGATGAATTCGAAGAACGGCCCGATAGATAATTTCAACGTCAGCAATTCTCTCTTTGGTGGCAGACGCCGGCTGTGTGATGTTTCGCCCATCCAATAATTGAAGCGAGTATGATCTCGAAATTCGCCTTCGAAATTCTGTTGATCTACGAGCATATCCAGCGAACTTTAACGAAAATTTAAATATTATGCGATGGAATTCTACCAAATCGATTTGCGTTAACAGATATTGCACAGGTGAATTAATATTACTTAGAAAATATCGAAATATGACAACGTGTCTATCTACTTTAATCATTTTATTTTATAAAAATAATATTACGTGTAACTTTCGTTTGATTTTATTAAAATTTTATAGGTATTGTATATATTTCAATGCAATCAAAAAGTTTCTTATTTTTTTCATTTTTCTATTAAAAATTCTAAAGGTAATTTTTTTTTAAGAAAGAGATATAATATGCATAGTTTATAAAGTTTTCTGTTTATAAAATTGAAGACTATACATGTATTTCATAAAATAGTATTATTGTCCAACTTGTCTGTTTTAGGATATTTGCAGATTGTGCCATTTTAATCACTGTCGAATATGAATGTGCAGATAGGAATATAATGAGATTATACGCCATGGCGGATTAACGTTGTAGCGACATCCGACTGTTATGTGACGATTGAGAAAAGCGTTTCATAATTTCATATCGATTATTCCGGATCTGCACGTGCGCGACGTTACATCCATTCGCGATAATTAACTCAATTATTAACAGGTACTACCGTGGAAAATGATTTTTGTCACCGTCGCACCGCTTTAATCTGTGGTTTTTAAAAACGTTCATCGCTTATACACAAGCTTCAAAAATATAGCAGAACATAAAATAGGAATTAGTATTATTCACTCTGCTTCGTTTGGATATTTGTTTAAGATTTTAGCTAAGTTGTTAATTGTTACTTGTTTAATGCATAATTTAGATAACAATTTCTATGCATTAATTATTTTTGAATAATAATAAATAATAAATGTACAACAATATTATAGGAATTAATATTATAGAAATATAATATTATAGAAATATAATATTATAGAAATAGGAATTACTTTTTAAAAAGTAATTTCTAAGAAACGAATTTGTTTTATCTTTAATCAATCTTAAATCAAAATAAGTCATTCTTATATTACAATTCTTATATTATAAATTATAAACACAATGATTATGAATAACAATGTTGAGAATGGAGAGAAGAAAAATTAATTAATACTTAATGTTAAAGATCTTTCTAAATATATTTCTCTATTTTTCTTTTTAAATTGCAAAATATTACACGACATAGTATTGAAAATTTTCGTAATGTTAAAATCTATTGTGATGTTACATATATAATAATTTAATAAAATTAGCAATATAATGGATAATAGCTATAATGGAGCAGATAGTAATATTAATTGGTAATTGTGAATGAGGATAGTAACACTGATGATCAAGAATATTAGCTTTTCATCGTTCTTTCGTCATATATTATTGATATTATTCCTTATTGAGAGTATTGTCGTTCTCATATACCGTATTGTCCCGCAACATCTTATTGTTCCAACATTTACAACTCTCAAGATTGTGGATCTTATCGCTGATACTGACATTTACGTCGATGTAGGCAATATCTCGATGTAAATAGTTCAGCTGCATAACAATTTGATATTCCCGCTAGATTAATTACGCTATAGATGTAGATAAGTCCGTTTACATTAGTTTATCCTATCATGGTGAGACAGACGTTAATCAATTATTTTAAAATTATATAATAGTGGCTTATTTTAAAATTATATAATAATGGCTCAATAATTTAAGAACAAGTTAAAAGAAAAGAAGTTCAAAGAAAATGAGTCAGAAGTTTAACCTATAAAATTGGTAGAGTAGTAAAAAAATGTCTTAATAAATTAATTATGAAACTTAATATGCCGACTAACAATAACAAACGTTTCGATCACGATCGGATTATCAATGTTTACAAAATATGAAAACGGTAAAAAATATAACATAAAATCGATTGAAAATATACTTCACATTGAATATATAATTGTTGATATCAATAAATTAAGAAAGATCTTCGTTTTGTTAGTTAAACTGAACAATAATATACATAAAATACGTACATTAGAATTTATTTTCAATTATTTTAATTACATTCACAGAATGTGTATTGCGCACAAAAAGTGAATATCGTTGATGTCATCATCGATATTATTCTGCGAATTAACTGCAGAATAATAAATTATTTGTCTAACAGATGCCTCGCTCTTTTTCAAGATTTAATTGGGTCGCTTTTTGATGTCAGGAAATGTTTATGAGTATATTGATTTAGATTGGTACGCCTTGGAAAATGTTAATTAACCTGAGCCACTAACATTTCGCTCATTACATTACCATACATCAAGTGCTATGAGACCATTTTACAATGAGTGCAAAAAGTATTCGTACAGAGAAAATATTTTTTTTAAAAACTTTATTTTTAAAAAATAAATATTATTCAGCGAGAAATGAGCCATCAAATTGATGTCGAATCGATATCGATATGATGATTTCAACACTAATTCGATGTCGATTCGAATCGAATTTTCGATTCGAATTTTAATTAATGATCATTTCTTGCTAGATAATTAACAATTTATTCATAAAAATACAATAGACTGTATATTTCTTAAAATTATATATACCAAAAAAATTATATATTCAAAAAATGTATTCAAAAAATGTATTCATCATAGAAAATATATCATCTGAAAAATAAGCAAAAATTAAAAATCTTATTGTTTGGATTCTCAAAAAGTATTCGTACAGTCGAAAAATTTAGCTTCTAAAATCAGGAATATATGCTCTTTTACTTATGTTAGAACAGAATATATTCAATGTATACAATTGCTAATTAATGTTTATTTTTTACAAATAAGACTTTTATTATAAAAAAAATCCTTGTACGAATACTTTTTACTCTCACTGTATGCTTTGGCGTCAATATTTTATTCTGACAGTTTTCTTTATTTATTATCCTGTTTGCCATCTCTCTTCATGAATGTGGAAACATTCAAGAGTAGTCATAGTATAATTAATAATTTTTTTTTTATGGTGAGAGACATTAATCGGAAATATATGTATAACGTAGAGTAACAAACTCGTTTATTTACTTCGGTGAATAATTGACGAACACATGAATCCAAATTGAGAAGTAATTAAAGAATGACAGAATTCTTTTTCTCATATGTTTGTGACAATTGAATAATCAGCGTGTGCACCATAAGCATATGAGAGAGATATAATATAGGGCAGAAGCCTAATGTAAGAAGAAGAAAAATTCTTTTAAAATATTCTTTATTATTATAACATCGAAGATATTTTTGAATATAAATTTTGTATGCATTTTACTCGTATCACTATTAAATGCATGAAGGGTTGACAAGTAATGCGTTACTTGTAATGCTATTACTTTGTTGATCCATTATTGATCTTTTGTTGATCTTTTTTGATTATTTTATTGTAGTAATATTTGACGAATTTTTTATGACGGTAATGGTAACATCAGAGTTGGAAAAGTCATTTGTTATTGAAGAAAATAATTTCTTTTTCCATTAATTCGCAATGCGTTATTGTTTACTCATGTTACTTGTAACGAGTAATGTTACGCGTTACTCGTATACTTATTATTTTTTTCAGTATATAACACGTATATAACAGTATATGATGACAAGTTACTTTTCTAATTTAAAATAACTTTTCTAATCTTAACACAGTGGTTAGCATTACCGTAAAAAGTTGCAACAAAGTTATCATCAAATTGTTTAATACAAAAGGCAAAGTAACTAAAAAGTAATGTTTGCCCTGATTACTGATGATGATATAGTATTGCTATTGATACGTAAATTTTACATATAAGGAAATAAGCCATTTTTAATTAATATAATATAAATTTTTTTATACATTTCAGACTTTTATAATGAAAAATATTTATAATCTTAACTTTTTTATATACTCATATAAATATAATCTAATCAAGAGATACGGTAGTATCTCGCGCCAAGTGTAACTAACATGAGACCTCCCCGTGTCTTTACGCAAGCCGTCGAATTCCAAGCACCCGAAATTGGATCATTGAGAATATTTAGAAGATGATCGATTCTGTAGTTTTAATGAACAACTTATGTTTTTAAAATTATATAATAAAGTAATGTAGGAAGTTAGACAAATGAGAGTTCGATGCGGCACTTAATGCACAATTATTATATTAGATTATTATGTAAGAAAAAGTTCATGGCGTTTTTCCTGTTAAATGGCATTAAAAACGCCACGAACTTTTTCCCATTACCTAATATGTATTGCGACCGCACTCATGAGCATGGTGCAAAATTTTCGTCGCGCATTCGTGATCGTAATTCTTTACAGTTTCTCCGGTATTCACCACTCTTTACTCAAAGCTAGTAATATCAATTAATCTGATAAATTCCAATTATTCTTACTCTCAACATCGAATATTGGGTGCCAGGCACGAAGGATCGTGTCACTCTTTCTCGGAATTAGCGAAGAGATTATGTTGAATTCCAAAAATCTCTAAAATCACGCGGATGGAAAATCAACCGATTGCTCAGTCACGAGATTGTTAGAGGGAGTGGTTCGTGGTCGGGAATGGAGGAGGTCTTGGAGAACAGCGATACACAATAAAATAAGCAGAATTTATAATAAAAAAAGATAACAAATATATTCGGATCACTTGTTTACACGATATTGTACACTAAATGTTTAATGGATTACGAGGCATTGAGGGAGGCGTGATTACCTTAGTAAGCGGCGTCCTCGACTTGCGATATTAGATACAAGAAATTCTTATTTCGACGGTACGAGCTCTAAGTTTCCAAATCATTCTATGAGTCGTTGGTGTCGATGGAAATTAGGGGCACCAATCGCAGTAGCACTTAACCATGCCTAACGCGCATAATTCTGATTTCAAGAACCGCGGGAATGACGAGATCTATTACGACGGAAAATGATGGGATTATAGAGCGTACTCAAATATTATCTGAAAATCTCAATTTATTATTCCAATTTTTGGAATAATAAAGCGCGATACAAAAACATAATACAAAACGAACAATACAATATAAAGATGCGAGAATATTATCCGAAATCTAACACATTTCCAGCACTCAAACGCGACACAAAATATGACGCAATAATACAAAGTGAAATGACTTGGCT